AGGGAAAAACAAATACATGCTGAAACCAGATATTTAATCGCTAAATAATCTGCCCAACTTAACATTCGAAAAAAAAAAAACTATACACATTTTTGCACCGAATTTTAATGCAAAAAGTTAGTTCGTAAAAATAATTAAATCAGAAATACAGTCCATTAAAATTCAATAGAACTAATTCTTTAAATAGTAGTAGTAAATTTCATAAATTTTATTTAATTTTTAGTTTCTGCGAACAATATTATTTTTAAAGCATTTTTCTTTACATCGGAAAGCGATAAATGAATGTGCATCTAAAGCTTTGCACGTGTGTATCAGAGTTTCCTCCAGGCATCTCTTCGGTGGGGGGGGGGGGCTAAGCCATCCCGAAAAATTCTACCGCCCCCCCCCCCCCCGAACGATATGAAATTTATATAATTTATATAAAAAATATATACTTTTAACAGTGTCTGCCCCCCCCCCCCGAAGAAAGTCTATCGCCCCTCCCCCCGAAAATTTCAAGTGCCCCCCCCCCCCCCCCAAGAAAAAAGTCTGGAAGAAACACTGGTGTGTATCATGAGAATTTAGGGTCGTCCCAACTTAACCTAAGATTGGATCTCCCAGAAAGATGTCTTTCGTACATCGGCGCTTTTAAAAATTATGTGTATATGTATGTCTACATACATCTGTAAACGTGTCTAAATAAATACCTGTATGTACGTGTACGTGTGTATTGTTTTCGTGAACGCAATGGTACTTGTACGTGCAATTGTATCATAAATATTAATATGGACATTTCAAAATATATATTTTACATGTGATGCTGTATATCCACACCAACAGCTGAGTTTTATGTTGCTCTGTATTCACGCCGTCTACTTTCAGATCTCCATTGGCAACCAGAAAATCGATGGGTCTTCTGTCAAAGCGTTTAGTGAGACGTGTAGTGGGCTGGTGGGATGTGTCAGTGAGATGTGTCAGTGAGATGTGTCAGTGAGATGTGTCAGTGGGCTGGTGAGATGTGTCACAGGGATGTGTCAGTAAGATGTGTCAGTGAGATGTGTCAGTGAGATGTGTCAGTGGGCTGGTGAGATGTGTCAGTGAGATGTGTCAGTAAGATGTGTCAGTGAGATGTGTCAGTGGGCTGGTGAGATGTGTCAGTGAGATGTGTCAGTGAGATGTGTCAGTAGGCCGGTGAGATGTGTCAGTGAGATGTGTCAGTGAGATGTGTCAGTAGGCCGGTGAGATGTGTCAGTGAGATGTGTCAGTAAGATGTGTCAGTGACATGTGTCATTGGGCTGGTGAGATGTGTCAGTAAGATGTGTCAGTGAGATGTGTCAGTAGGCCGGTGAGATGTGTCACAGGGATGTGTCAGTAAGATGTGTCAGTGAGATGTGTCAGTGGGCTGGTGAGATGTGTCAGTAAGATGTGTCAGTGAGATGTGTCAGTAGGCCGGTGAGATGTGTCACAGGGATGTGTCAGTAAGATGTGTCAGTGAGATGTGTCAGTGGGCTGGTGAGATGTGTCAGTAAGATGTGTCAGTGAGATGTGTCAGTAGGCCGGTGAGATGTGTCAGTGAGATGTGTCAGTAAGATGTGTCAGTGACATGTGTCATTGGGCTGGTGAGATGTGTCAGTGGGCTTGCGAGACACACCCTTCACTCAATAGAATTCTGTCAAATCTCTCGACTCATCACAGCCTTTCTATTATCGTTCTCTTCCCGATTAGTTTTTTATGTATATCAGAATTCTCTATCATCCGTCATCGTCAGACCCAGTTACCCCCCCCCCCCTATACACGGCTCCCCATACCTCACACCCCACAACCCTCTCCGTACCCACCGGCATCCCGTTACATTATAAAACCTCTGTTCCCCCACCCCCTCCCAGCGCAATATAGGTAAAAAAAAAAGGGTGACCACATACCTCTGTCGTTGTTTATTACCAAGAGACCGGTTAAATCTCAGCAGGGTGAGTTAAGATAGGGCCATTACCTGTACGTGACGGGGGGGGGGGGGGTGAGGCTGATATAAGATCGTTACCTGTACGAGACAGGCTGGGGTGGGAAGGGTGGTGGGGGGCCTAGGTAAAGCAAGCTATGCAAAATATACATATATATATATATATATATATATATATATATTTATATATATATATATATATATATATATATATATATATGTATATATATATATATATATATATATATATATATATATATATATATATATATATATATATATATGACTTACATACATTCCATCAAAATTATTAATCATTTTTTTCCAGCCGAGACGAATTCTAAATAGCAAATATATATCTTTTTTAGACCTGATTTATTTTAGATGAAATTCCATTATGCTGGTTGATGATCTTTATCCTACATATTCCTGTAGTTAGTATTGTCCATAGCTTGACGTCATTCCAAAGCCTCGTCAGTTGCCACGTCACACAAAGTTCAATGGTCACGCATTGATGGGCGTCACAGTTCAGATAAGGGAAAGGGTTGAGGTCAGATTGAAAAAAATAACTGCCAACATTAGACTTGTCAAACGACACAGTGAATCGCCTGCCGTGTTACAGCACTGTGCCAGCCACTCGTAGTGCACTGACATTAATAGTGGATGCATCATTGATACGAGGCACTCTATCTGCGGCTATCAACACTGAGACAAATATTTGCCGTTTTAGATGTGATAATCAGTAATGAGAATACGAGCCATTTTTATTTCTAGGTAAATAAGTTTGTTTTAATGTTATTGCTATAATTAATATTAATTTATTTCTTTAAACAAAAAGAAAATTTTTTAAAAGAATTTTATTTTTAAATTTAGAAAACAATAAAAGTTGTCTTCACAAGATGTATTTGCTATTTATCTCCCCTAATTAAGAGTTGATGCTTCTCTCCCTTGAATCAGCTCAGGTAAGGATTGATCGACTAATTGCTTCTGGATTATATTTACAAAAAATCTCCTTCGGCCTAAACATACAAGAATCAAAATACTATTTATTTTTATACGGAACTAATTAGGTCTAAAACATCTAGAAATAAGTGTAAATTAATTTGTTAAGTAAACTTTTTTTTCCCAGATTAGTTAAAACGTAAAACGTCCGCGTTTCACTGTAATCGGACCGAAACATTTACATTTAACATTTATACCAATCGTGCTGTATTTCTAGATGACGATATAGTGCAAACTATATTCCACAAAGACAAGTGACATTTGTTCTACTTCAGCTTTTGTTCGCGAGTAATTGCTGCACTACATTCAAACTAGTTTTCTAACATCAGGGGAGATAAGTGAAAATAAAGTGAATTAAACCTAAAGGGAAATAAGTGTAACACGATTTTCTTTTCTTTCTCTAGCCCCCACTATGTAAGATATGTGGAACGAGAGTGCTATTTCCTGTATCGTTTTGGTTATGGTTACATTAGTATCGATCTTTTAATAAAGAACCAGACAATACCCAAAGACACCTGTGTAACTAGTGACACGTAACAAAATGAATGGACAGCTACATTGTTACAGTTCTGGTTAGGCGTCTCCTAACAACCCCCCCCCCCCTCCCCAACACCACCACGACCTACGCAGCCACCAGCAAATAACAGTCCCAGCCAATCTTGATGTGTGATTCTGGGGTTACAAAACTGTTATAATCAACAACCCCCCCACCCCATCACCCCCCTCCCCCCACCCCCACCGAATCGAGAACTGGACCCTCGCGTCTGCTTGCTAGCCTATGTCCCGGTTCTCATTAACTGAAAATCCAATTAGCAACAAAAACATGAAATAATGACACATTTAATTGTCATCTCATTAGCAGTTGTGTTTTTCTTGCTAAACTTCGACCCTAATGAGGAGAGAAAACATTCGCTCATAAAAGGGTCTCAGTTGATTAGATGACATATAGGGGTCCTAGTGGATTAGATGACATATATGGGTCCTATTGTATTAGATGACATATAGGGGTCTCAGTTGATTAGATGACATATAGGGGTTCTAGTGGATTAGATGACATACAGGGTCCCTAGTGGATTAAATGACATATAGGGGTTCTAGTGGATTAGATGACATATAGGGGTCCTTATGGATTAGATGACATATAGGGGTCCATGTGGATTAGATGACATGTATGGGTTCTAGTGGATTAGATGACATGCAGGGTCCCTAGTGGATTAAATGACATATAGGGGTTCTAGTGGATTAGATGACATATAGGGGTTCTGGTGGATTAGATCAATGACGTGGTGGGCTCGCAAACTGGGGGGGGGGGGGAGGCGATCATATGGCAATACATGTATCAACACGATGCAGGCCAAATAAGGAAATATGATATAACCGTAGACGTGAATGAATGGATGCGCCATCAGGGCTAGTCTATTGATGACTTCATTCAAATTTAGACGAATCCCACCCCCTCTCCTTTTCCTAATATTACAAGTATCTACTCCCTTCATAATGTGCTACTCAAAGCTCTATGGAAACTATAGCTATCAGCCCGCCCCTTGCTTTTCATTTATTTGTAAGAATTTTTAAATGTACGCAACTTTGCATTTTCTTACTTTCCCCACCCCTTCTCCTGCGTAAAAGCAATTGTCACACATATTATAACACTCTCCACCCCATGGATGAGTTACGTCATTAATGGACGGCATTTAAAAAAAACAAAAAAACAACAACTCAAAAACAACAAACAACCTATAATCCTCTTTAAATATAAGGGGCCTCTGCCTTTTTACAATCACCACTGTGTCTATTTGGTTGACTCAGTGTGTGCTAGAGGGTGATATGTTACACGTTACAATGTTAACAACAGTAACTGGTCTCATTTCGTTGCAAAATACTGATCATGACAACATGAATAAATTATTTAAACTAGATTCCAGAAAACAATTCTGACTTCTATGTCATCCCCTCACCTCCTTTCTTTCAGTATTGGTGTGGCGAGATTGATGCTTGTATATTACCATACATGGAGCTGTAGATCTAGACTAGTTGAGGTGGTGGTGACCATCTGTAAACAATGCTGGGTGTGGCCAACGGTGTTAGTGGTGTGGCCAACGGTGTTAGTGGTGTGGCCAACGGTGTCAGTGGTGTGGCCAGGGGTGTCAGTTGTGTGGCCAGGGGAGTCAGTGGTGTGGCCAGGGGTGTCATTGGTGTGGCCAGGGGTGTCAGTGGTGTGGCTAGCAGAGCTGGTGTGGCCAACACTGTAAGTGGTGTGGCCAGAGGTGTAAGTGGTGTGGCCAGGGGTGTTACTGGTGTGGCCAACGGTGTAAGTGGTGTGGCCAACTCTGTAAGTGGTGTGGCCAACGGTGTTAGTGGTGTGGCCAGGGTTGTTACTGGTGTGGCCAACGGTGTCAGTGGTGTGGCCAACTCTGTAAGTGATGCAGGAGTTAACGTGGCCAGCTATTGAGGTGAACATAGCCAGGTAAACCTCGATATCGTTAGCCAATCTTAATTTACTCGCATAGGTCGCTACGAGGTGTCCTATCATAGCTCATTAGCGAAAAAAGTATCATTAACAAGCTGATAATTAGCGAGATTTGTGGAATGTCACGTGGTCGAGCCTGAATGGTCTATTTTTGGTCTGGTATGTGGGTTGGACCACATGGGTCACATGAACCACAGAGCTCATGGACCACATAGATATCTGTTACCAGGTATAGCACATCTCACACTATTGGTCTTGTATATCTAAGGGTAAGCAGAAATAAAAGTTTGGTCAAACATTAGAGTTCAGGCTCGTCTTTAAACCCCCACTGCTTACGCAAATGAAGTTGAGTATGGATAATGATATGGGAGGGGGGGGGGAGGCTCTGAGAAAAAAAAGGTAGTGTGAGAATATTTTCAAGTAAGGGTATAGTCTTTCAGCTATTTCTTGTCGTTTTATAGTCGAGAAACATATTCACTTGAAACAACATGACCAGAGATCTAGCTGCAATCAAAAGTTGCCCGGTTGTTCCTACGTTAGACCACCATACAGAGAACAGCTAGGAAAATGATATCAATAATTGCTGCTAATTTTAATCCGTTGATGATTCAGTGTCAGAAGCCTCGCGTAGGTCACTGGAAGATTAGTATTGGGCCCGTTTGTTTTTGTTTCGGTGACACCAACTTACAAAATATTTTTAGTTAAATTATCAACCCCCCCTCCTCCCTCTCCCCCATATACAGTAGTCAACAGTTGTATCTCGTAGCTCAATGGCAGACTCCCAGGCACCCACAGCATAGGTGTGTCAGGTGACCCTCAGTTGCGTAGCGACCAGTTTCTTTCAGGCCATCTCTTCGTGAGGGGGTAACCCTTAGCATGTACCCTCCCCCCCCCCCCCACTGAACGAGATAGAATTTATATAGGAAACATATACTTTTACCAGAATCCGCCCCTCCCCTCCCCCTCAGAAAGTTTCAAGTGCTCCCCCCTCCCGGAAAAAAAGTCTGAAAGAGACACTAGTAGCAACATTTTTGGGACGCCTAATGCAGACAATATATTCCCCCCTCCCCATATAGTTTTTCTCTCTTAAAACCATAACGGAAAAATAATTGCGGAATTGGGTGTACGAAAGACAACCGCGAACTCAAATCTAGAAACTGACCGGAGTTTATGCTTAACCCTATAGATCTAGACTAGACCTGGTAGGGGCAAGCAACCCTGGAGCAACAAGCGGCCTTTGCAACTGGTAAACAGGACTCTTTTTAAAATATCTGGCTAAAAATATTTTTTTTAAAACGCCTGGAAAAGTGCGCGTATAACATTTGTTTTAATGTAGTGTCTGAGAAGCAGAGTTTCTTCCAGGCATCTCTTCGGGGGGGCTTTGCCCCCCCGAAAAATTTTTACCGCCCCCCCGAACGAAGTGAAATTTATATAATTTATATAGAAAATATATACTTTTAGCAGTGTCCGCCCCCCCCGAAGAAAGTTTACCGCCCCCCCGAAGATTTCAAGTGCCCCCCCGGAGAAAAAAGTCTGGAAGAAACACTGCTGAGAAGTTAGATATAGCTTTCGTATGTTACATTAAATAAATTAAGGGAAAAGGAATATTCGAAATGGCTCTTAACCCCCAGCATAGAGATATTCTATGGGTCAAACTCATAAGCCAGTCATAAGCAGAGGCGTAGCGAGGGGGGGGGGGGTGGGCGGGGGCTGCGGACCGCACCGGGTGACACGATTTAGGGGGGTGACACCAAGGCAAAAAATTACAAAATATATAGAGAAAAACTTGAGGGGGGGGGATGCAAATCGAAAGTTTGAGGGGGGTGCAAATCGAAAGTTTGAGGGGGGGGGGGGTGCAAATCGAAAATTTGAAAGTTTGTCCCCGGGAAGGGTCGCTACGCCTCTGGGGGGTGACACCATTAAGTGCCGCACCGGGTGACACCCGACCTCGCTACGCCACTGCTCATAAGTGATAATTATGTCAACTATTATGAGAATATTTTGTGAATTATACTTCACCTTTTCTTTTCAATATCAATAAAATATCAAAACATCATCACCAATATACAGTTTTAGTTATCATAGAACAATCATCAATTCAAAAGTAAGCAGTACAGTAAAAATAGTAAAAGCACTCATTACCTGTGTCGTATACAATAAAATAGCGTTAGAACTCTTCTGTTTAGATTTCACTAGCTTTGTCCAGTTAGCTCTCAGAAAAAAAATTATGCTGCTATCCTGAAGGAAAATTGACGAATATTTGCTCAGAGACCAAGAAACTCACACAGAGGAATGACAGATTATCCACGCACACAAAACCGGACACCTGAATTCCGTCTCTGCGACTGTGTCCTGCTTGTAAATTGAAAATAAACTTTTTGCCACCAAAATAAAAGCCACGCACACTCGCTCATCACCGGCGGAAGCAGATGCGGACGGAGAGGTGTAGTGCGGTCGGGATCTCTTGCCCAGCAAGACGCGTGGAGAAATCTCAAAACACGATTGGCTGTTTCTTTTACACTCCCCCCCCCCCCACTTTTTTTTTCTTTTCCTAACGGGATTCTGCAGTCTGCGCTCGTTGTGAATGCGCATCAGACGACAAATTATGTTGGTTTTTTGTTTACCTAAAAAAAAAGGTCAATTTTTTTTTCTGTTTATAAGGCAAATCTTCGGACTCTACACACTGGTGGTAGTTGCCAAAGCCTGATCATAAAAAAACATAAAATTACCACAAAATCGAAAAGGCCCAATCTCTCCCTCTCTCTCACTATCTCCCCCCCCCCCCCCCCACAAATGCTGTGTAGCGGAATCTTATTCACTAGGCCAGCAATTCTTTTTTTTTAATTCACCATTCAGGCGATGGGTCTTGTCCAGATCAGCACTGCCATTAATGCAAAAAATGCACGGGCGAAAAGTTAAGCCCCGCCACTTGTCTGGGGTGAGGGTTAGGTTTAGGGCTAGGGTTAGGTTTAGGGCTAGGGTTAGGTTTAGGGCTAGGGTTAGGTTTAGGGCTAAAGGTATCAAAATACAGACCTTTTCATGCGAATTGATAATAACATGTCCCTATTTCATCCTTCTATAAAATCTTAAAGTACACGTTTCATATCTTCCATTTGATAATCTACTTTTGGGTGGCGGAGGTTATCTTTTTGTTGGGGCCTATAAGGACAAGATCCCACTTTTTTACTTTCTCGTATATACGAAGTATAGAGAAAGTCTTGTAATCGTGCAAAAAAAAAAAATCGAGATTTTTGCAAATCTCGACGTTTTACATCTCACTGATACGGAAAAACATAATTTTGCAATCTTGTCCGTATGTCTGTGTGTCCGTGTGTGTGTCTGTGTGTGTGTGTGTCCGTGTGTAAACACGATAACTTGAGTACCGTTACAGCTAGGTTGATGAAATTTCATATACAAGTATTATATCAAAATCGTAGATCCGTATCAACTTTTGAGCGATTTCGGATAACCGGAAGTGGTACTTTTTCTACTTTGAATTTTTCAAAAGCCTATAACTTGAGTACTATTTCAGATAGATAAATGAAATTTCACATGTAAGTAAAAGATCTAATTCTCTACCTTCTGTTAAATTTTGAGTAATTTCCGTTGACCGGAAGTAGTACTTTACGCTACTTCCGATTTCTCAAAAAACTAATGTAAATTTATAAAGTACTAATACTATTGCGCACTATTATACACACCTTTATTAGGCGTTCGCTTGGTGCGCAATTGTTTTTTACTGAGATTCTATTCTATTTTTAAAAGTTTCAGTCTTTAAAATGGATTAAAGATCATAACTATATCCCCAGTTACCATCCCCTGTTGTTTTATATAAGAATATTCGAGAAAGTTTAGGGGAGATCACTACCGGTTTATTTTCTTTATAAGACAAAACAAAAGCCTACACACATAACCTAAGGTAACAAGGAAGTAGTTAGGCTTATAGACGTGGTAATGTGATTGGTGAAAACGTTCATGGATTTGACATTCGCAAGAAAAATACTGTCCTATTCTAAAAATAAACATGACTGTCCTCCCAACGGTACCACAAGAGGGTAAGTGGGATGTCACCCTTACCTAGTGTCACCACTGTGTCCTGCAAACAGTCACACACACAATAGGGTAAGTTGAATGTCACCCTTAGTGTCACCACTATGTAGCGGTAACATAAGAGGGTATATGGAATCACACCTATACCCCCATGTCACCACAGTCTCCTCCCAAAGGCCACACAAGAGGTTAACTGGTGTCACCCTTACCTAGTGTCACCACTATGTCACCACTGTCTCCTCCCAAAGGCCACACAAGAGGTTAACTGGTGTCACCCTTACCTAGTGTCACCACTGTGTCACCACTGTCTCCTCCCAACGGCCACACAAGAAGTTATTTGGTGTCACCCTTACCTAGTGTCACCACTGTGTCACCACTGTCTCCTCCCAACGGCCACACAAGAAGTTATTTGGTGTCACCCTTACCTAGTGTCACCACTGGCTATCCAAAAGTATCCAGGACAATGTAATGTTACAACGTGACGTCATTGCACAAATAAATCTTTAAAGCGAAACAAACATGATAATTCTTAGCTCTGTCGTCTGCTATTTGGCTGGGGAGGTAGACTTTCAATATAACCCCTCCACACACACTTCTTTTGAATTATAGTTTAATATTTTCAAATACAATTTAATAGGCATTAGTGTGTTATAAGTATAAAGGCAAAGGATAGGCTATAGTTTACAAATGTAGAGATTGGCTCGGGAAAGTTGGAGCAAAATAAATCACGTATGAATATGCTCCGTATGTAAGTATTTTGTTGATGAGTCAATCACACTTAAATCTAGTGTTACACGTTATACATCTAGCTATCAACTCTGCTTAAGATCATTTTATTTGTCTAGAGCTTTCTTTTATACCTTCGCCATTTTTTAAAAATGTTCAGTATTGATTGTTGTGAAGAAAATCTGAAGTGGAAATGTCATTTGTTGTGCTTTTTCTTTCTGATATTTGCCTCACATAGTGTTATGGTAAATTGATGCAAGCTGTCTTATTATAAGTTTATACATGCTGTCATATACATACTGTCTCATTATAAGATACATGCTGTTTTATAGTAAGGTGTTACATACTGTCTTATGATAAGGTGATACATGCTGTCTCATGATAAGGTGATACATGCTCTCTTATGATAAGGTGATACATGCTGTTTTATAGTAAAGTGATACATGCTGTCTTATGATAAGGTGATACATACTGTCTTATGATAAGGTGATACATACTGTCTTATGATAAGGTGATACATACTGTCTTATAATAAGGTGATACATGCTGTTTTATAGTAAGGTGTTACATACTGTCTTATGATAAGGTGATACATGCTGTCTTATTATAAGGTGATACATGTTGTCTTATGATAAGGTGATACATACTGTCTTATGATAAGGTGATACATACTGTCTTATGATAAGGTGATACATGCTGTCTTATGATAAGGTGATACATACTGTCTTATGATAAGGTGATAAATACTGTCTTATGATAAGGTGATACATGCATATTTATTCATGCATATTAAGCCCCCCCCCCCCCCCATCTCCCGCCCGAAAAATACTGTCAATTACACTCGGCCAAGTAGTGATAAATATGGATAAATATGGATGGGATTAAGGATAATTTAGGCATAGGGAAAATATTAGAGTCAGGTTTTGGATTAGGGATAGGGAGAGAATTACTAACGACTGGGGAAAAGTCATGTCCTAGATCATAATCCATTTAGAGACCCGCGTGTTAGAACTAGACATCAGACCCAAAGACTAAGACATTATTCCCAGACATTAAGCCCAAAGACCCAGATACTAGACCCAAAGACCCAGGCATTAGACCCATATATTAAAACAGAGACCAAGATATAATCGGGACATGTGACTAAAAAAACGTTATACCTAAAAAGAGAGATTATACCCAAAGACTAAGACATTAGGTCCAAAGACAGACATCATACCCAAGACTTAGACTTAAATACTAGAACAGAGACGCAGGTATTAGACGCAAAGACAGAGACATTTAACCTAAAGACCCAGACATTGGATCCAAAGACAGGGACATTAAACCCCGGGACACAGACTTAAGACCTAAAGACAGACAATAGACCCAGACCCCAGACATTATACCCAGACACACACCAGACACACACCACCATTATAGTCTGCACAGAAATCGCGTTTTGAACAAATAAGCAAATTCTATTACGTTGGTTAGTCAAGAAGAAAAAGAAATCGATGCATAAATCCTTATTGATCCCCCACATGCCAGGAAGCTTTGTAACAGTCCTGTCTGTCTGCCCCCACTTCCCACCCCAACCCCTTCAATCATTAACGCAGAGGCGTAGCGAGGGAGGGGGGGGGGGAGGGGGGCGGGGGGTGCGGACCGCACCAGGTGACACCAAGGCGAAAAATGGTAAAATATATGGAGAAAAATTTGAGGGGGGGGTGCAAATCGTAAGTTTTAGGGGGGGGGGGGGCAAATCGAAAGTTCGAGGGGGGGGGGGCTGAAAATCGAAAATTGAAAGTTTGTCCCCGGAAAGAGTCGCTACACCTCTGGGGGGGGGGGGTGACACCATTAAGTGCCGCACCGGGTGACACCCGACCTCGCTACGCCACTGCATTAACGTACGGACAAACTCACTCGCTATTTAAAAACAACTTTTCATATTTCTATAAAACTAAAAACAGTGTTTTCATATTAAATGCGTATCCTAACGAAAAATTCAGTAACCCTTTATAGTTTATAAGTTTGTTTACCTAATTAATGTAACGATAATTTTTTGTATGGGCGTGCCCAAATCAGCAAGGTGGTTTGATTAGAGAACAAGCTAATCTATGAAACCAAGATATGTATATGGTCAGGAAAGCGTAACGCTACTTATGACTTCTTATTCTTCAAACTATATAATCCAGCTTTGGGGAAAATACGTGCACATTATCTTTTCACTTGATTAACATTGACGCCGGCCGATCAGTATCGGGGTTATTTTTTTTTTTTTTTGGTATCGGTAATAACACCAACCCTGGCCCTACATCTAGTCCTAACACTAGCACTAATTCTAACAAACGATACCGACATTGAAACTCCATACGATACTATTTTCTCTGAAATGATGAAAGAAGTACCGTATCTAGTTGCACTACAGGGAGGACGGATGAATCCATTTAAGGCCGTCGACCTGGTCTCTCTCGTGTACGGTGAAATGTAGCTAGTATGGACCATATTCTTTTGTGATATTGTTCATAGTCATAACGTTGGAGCAGCCTAAAGTGAAGAACCACGTATCTGCTCTACCGTAGTTTAGTTGGTGGATTTGTTATTTGCTGATCGGATTTGGGATAACATGACCTCGCAAGTTGGGATGACCTTTGGTGCTGATGTAGACT